ATTTTTACTCTGATGATTACCTTAAAGTATCGTTACCTTTCTCACTCAACGGCCACCGCGAGGCCTTTTTATTTCATTCTTTGGCATTTACAAACAAATATAACTTGTTTTTTCTTTTAGCGCGAAATCTCGCCAGAGTAATAAAACTCCATCCATAAACAATAACGTGGCCGATATATGAAAAGCAGATAAACCTTATTCCTTGAAATGCGTGATAAGATCCCCTGAACACAATTGTACAAGTGAAAGTGTATGCTATTAAGGGCCTTCAGAGATTCCTTTTTACGATCCTCCGGCCACATATAGTCCCAAAATGGGGGGGTTTCATTAATTTGTCTCGTTTTTGCTTAACTTTTTTTAAAATTCTAATACAGGGATCCATTTATGTGTGGCTTCCCCATGACAGTATTGGGATGGATGAGTCCAGCTTTTCCTTAGCGGGATTTTCCGTCTTATACTACGAAGCTGGTCAGCGCTAAGACAAATCCAAATGAAATAACAGAAGCATTCGTACGCATACTAATTTTGCTCGAGTATAATGTTTCTGCTGAGAAACATCAACGAGGATTTGGTGACAGTGAGGTAGTCGAGCCTCCATGCGTCCTCTTAATATCCGCGAATACTTTGCGGTCCTCGAGATTCCAGACCATTCTTTAGAAAATGCCGTCTCCGCAGGTTGTACTTACCTAAACATTGACATTAAGACGGTAATGGACTTTGTCGCCCATTCAGTAGGCTCACGGACGACATTTTTTCTGCATATTACGTCTCTAACCGTGAAATCTGCTCAGAGAGGCAATTAAAGCCTACAGGTAAGGCAAATTTAAGTGCGCAAGTGATCACTACTGCCACATTTTCTAACAAGTTATTTCCCCCAAACGTAGTACTCGGGTAAATGCGCACGTTGTTCATCTTCCTGGCGCGTACTTTCAGATGAAAACGAAATCTGTTGTTCATTTGTGAAATGTTCCAAACTGTATTAACAATGCTTCTATAAAAAAGACAAAATCCCACTTTTATTCATCTTAGAACCATTATACATCAAATTTTATGATTATACTGTGCCTACGAAGAAATTCGGAAAGCTTAAAATATTTCTCCAATTGTAACCACAAAGACCGCTTCACTCCAAATGTACACGTCAACTAAAAATAACTCTCCGCTGCTTATTTTCATGCTGGCGTCCACCATATATAGCAGTTGTTTCTGCAATATTTACATGTATTAGCAACCGGTGATGTATTAAAAAGACGACGATATTACCACTTCTATACAAACAAATTTTTTCAGGTTTCCAAATCGCAATTTGCGTTAGGGGACTTGTGGTTAACTCTCACTAAGAGAGTTGCTCTTGTCTTGCTAAACCTAATTTAATCAGATAAGTGCGTTTTGATCAACTTTTTGCGTTAATCTTAGTACTATTTCTATATTAATATGCCAAAATAAGCGGATGCTATCTACAGCAGGTATTAGTAACTCAAATTGTCAAAACATAAAGTACCTTTAAATTGCAAATAAAAATGCATTCCTGAAGTATTTAGTTGAAATGCGCCGTAAAAAAGACTTTTTGAGTAGACGTAATTACGGTGATAAATGTTCTTTAGCTCTTCGCACCTTGGTATGTCTAATGTTATTTTGGTTGTTACTTTTGTGCTGCGTTCATTTTTCTTCTGTGCATCAGTCATACGTTGTAATCGGGGAAACAAAGGGCTGTTTAAGTGAGCGATTTAAACAAGACCCCTTACAAATGATTTCAGCAAAAAATAGGCAAGTAAATGTTCCGACGCTGACTTCGACTGTCAATAAAAAGCACTAACCTTCAATCGGAACATTAACTGATATAAAGGAAAAATCTTCCATTCACATCCAGTGTGTCTGCGCCTGATAACAAACATTGATCGTCTATCCATTGCTCAGATATCGGTAGCCGCCCCATCTGATGCTTGGTTATCTGCGCTGTTTTGAAAGGACATGGTTGCTAGCAAAGGGATACGTTGATACCTATTCAGGCGAGTGTCATAAAATTAACAAAGGCAAAGTCGTATTCACAGGTCAACCGTTTGGGTTTTTATATGTTATGCAAACGCCTCTTGTATGTTCAAGAGACATCATGGCATGGGCGTTCTTTTTTAAAACTGTTACGAAGACGGTCATCACTTCAAGGGACTCGCCGGCAGATCGACGATCCCCGTCATTTGGCCATTAACTATTGTTCTCATGAAAGTGTTCACCCTCTTCGAGACGATTCTGTCGTACCCGTCAATTTAAAAATATGCGAGTTCATCCTCGCGGCTACGCTGCAGAAATAGATGAGCTATCCAACATAAGTTTTTGAGTTCGGCAAACCCAAGTTCCGTCATGCAGTTGTCGTCCAGTAATATAAATTATGGAATAGGGTCAGAGACTCAGCATTAATTGCAGACAACCTTAACAGTGGCTCAGTGTTTGATGACCCAGCACCTCATTAGTCCCTCATCCGACTGGTACTTTTATCTGGACGTCGGGCACACATGAGGACATTTCTTCCTAAAGGTCGTGAGAATCGCAAACCAGCTGGCTACAATACACCGTCAACTTTTCTCTGACCTACAGAAGCTATAGCCGTTAGATGATAGGAACAGCATATTTTGGCATGTTTTCTATGAAATATAATTGAACTTATGGGGGCCGTAAGTCAGAAGACGAAACATCGTGCCATTTTGGTATGCATTTATGCAGAGTATTACTTTCCTAGCGACTGAAATGAAGTTCGTTCAAAGCTGGCACCTTGAAGGGACTAAAATATCTTGATATTTTGCCGCCTGACAATTAATATAGCATTTCTGATTAGGCACTCTTTTCGAATTAAAAATGCATTTGAGTTTAGATTGCAGATAGCATCTCATGAACTAACACATTTGTTGTAGTTGCGAACAAAACCAACAAGCAAATCGAAAAGTCCTTTCTGATACGCGCGCGTGAATTCAGAAAGACAATCACGGGTATATTGTCTAACAACAATTGACCTAACATGTAAATTAGGACGACCAATTGTGGAACATGTAATACACTCATATGTTGCTATAGTTAAAATAATCCTGATGGCAGGCGTTAAAAAAAACAGGATGAATTTAGGCTTTAGCACTTGATATGGAAAAACTAGATAGTTACCGTGAGTTCTTACCGATGAGCATTAAATAAATGCAAATTTCTTACCAAGTGGGCAATGGCCCTGTAACATTCCAGCAGGGCACTCTCAATGAGCCTTCTAAACATCAAGTTCGTATCTGGAAGTCGGTTAATTCAGGGAAAACATCTTGACGGCTACACGTTTATCATCCGAAAAACCCCGAAAATTGAATCTTGCACATCAGTACTAACTGGCATGTCTAAAATAACACCTTACATTTTAACTGTTGACCAGCCACCGCTCCTGCAACTTGTACTATTGGACTCCACCTGGAAGGCGAACGTGTCTAGTTGAACAACATCACCAGTACACATGCAGCTCATATTCTTGCGCTCGCAAAGTCCGGTACAACGTCATCTCACAGTCTACTTTGTACTTTTCCGCGAGCACGTTCTGATTTTGAGGACAGTTATTCCCCTTTCTTTGCCGGACTTAGAGAGATGAAAAAAAGAAGACGTCGCCTGCCTTTCCACCAGACCGCTTGGCGGACTGCTGGATCGACTGACATGTCCTACATTCGCCCACCACCTCCCCGTCTAACTTCCACTTCGTTCATTTATATCCCTAACCCTTTATTCGCACTTGACTCGCTGTCGTGGTGGCCCTGACGTCAACGGAATTAGGAACAGCATTCAAAAAACCGTCTTTCCTTGATGATTTCTCAATTACTTCCAGGTACACCGAGGACACAACTGATTTTATGCTCGCGCATCAACCCATGCAAGACTACCAGCAATGTAATGTTTGTGAAGGAGATGACAGAATAAAGAGATTTACATAAAGGTTTTCCGAGACAAATTGTATTCTATAAAAAGTTTAACAATATGGTTTTGGTTCTGCTCATTTGTTATCTCTAACATCATGTGTTTCGGTGCAGTAAATGATTATTATTTGGTTAATTTGTATAATTTAGACATATTTATACTAAAATTTCCCTGCATCACCAGTATGTAGCTCCTCTCTCTCTTCTGAAAAACTCGTTTTTCCCTGTTCCGACATGGAAAAAACCCAATTATCTTAAGCATGTTCTCCTCTAAATGCCCTATACAACAGTAAGCCTGTTAAGCTTTGGGGCAGGATCTATTTCCGAATTTTGAAGCTCCCATGGAACATGCGATTCTTTTCCTGTTAAGGTTAATACATTGCAGAATGCCAATAGAAGCGAAGAGCCGAGTCCCAGGAAGTAATCTTGAAGAAGGAGACACGATCGCCGGGACAAGAGCTTTATTAGCCTGACGTTTCGGATTCCTACTCGAATCCATTATCAGAGACAAAAGAGCAGAAACGGGTGGCTGTTGCACAAGGGACTGTGGTATTTATAGGATGCAGTAGCCATGCTGCCGCATACCTATGAACGTTCACGGCTCCCCCTTTCATCCGGGATTGTCACACTTGGTGTGATCATTGCTTGATGGCCGACATTCGAGTCGATAATTGCTGCAATTTCATCACGTGCTTTGGATGTTGGCGTGATGATTGCTCGACCATCTGACGCGTTGACCCGGGTGTTGGGAAGAGTGTTCACCTGTGCGCTCCCCGCGTGGCCAATTACTCCGCCTAGACGAAGTCTCAGCACGCTGTACTGAATGGGAAGATCGTTGCACTTGTTAATGGACTGAGGACCAGTAAACCATGATTCCAGTAGCTCCCGGCTCACTCGGTTGTCACCTCTTGCGAGAATTTCGGCCTCATCGAATTTAAATGTGTGGCCGGATCTCGTCGAATGAGCCGCAACTTGAGAGCTGACGTCATTTCTGCGCACCGCTGCCGCGTGTTCGGCCATTCTCGTTCGGAGCTGTCTTCCGGTTTCTTCGACGTAGTTGCTTTGTCCTCAACTGCACCAGATCCGATAAACGACTCCAGACGTTTCTAGCCGTGGCGGTGGGTCTTTCGGTTTCATGATCAGACGCCTGATGGTTGCCTCCGGTCTGTGTGCCACTCCAACCCCAAGTGGTGCGAGAAGGCCGCCGACAGCTTCCGAAACGTTCTTGACATACGGAAGCGCTCGCCAAGACTTGGTGCGGTTAGGCCTTTCGTCCCTTTTGCGTATGCACCGGTCGGCGAAGTTGCGCGGGTAGCCATTGGCTTTGAAGACCCGTGGGAGGTATTGTAGTTCAGCAATTTTGTCTTCCGGCTCACTGCAGTGCGTTCCGATACGCCGATAGAGCGTCCTTACACAACTGCGTTTGTGGCTGATTGGGTGGTTACTGTTGAAGTTCAGTACTTGCATCGTATTTGTCGCTTTCCTGAACACTTTGGTCTTTAGTCCACCACAATCCTTGCGGCATACGATCACACCTAGGAAGGCCAGCTGGTTGTTCTCTTCCTCCTCCATCGTAAATTGAATGTCCGGAAAGACGGCGTTGAGATGTTCTTGGAATGTCAGCACCTGATCCCGTTCGATGAAGACGAAGGTATCATCCACACACCGTGCCCAGAATTTCGGTCTGTTGTGTTGGAAGACCAGCGACTCTAACCGTTGCAGGACCGCCTCGGCGATGAATCCGGAAATCGGCGAACCCATTGGTGTGCCCTGCACCTGTTCATAGATTGTCCCGTCGAACGTGACAGAGACAGAGCTGAAGGAGCTGAAGGATTTAGGCGTGTCCAAGATGGTTCTCCGTTTCATCGTATTTGCTTTGTAGTAGCAGTTCAATTGTCTCGATCGCCAGGTCCTGGGGAATAGAAGTATAAAGTTATGTAACATCAAAAGATACCTTTTGATGTTACATCCCTCTAGTCCTACAAACATAGCCTGTCTCACATGAATGAGTGTGATGTAGGTGCACACTGAGAAGTCGGAGTGAGCAGCCTATCTGTGGTGTCATGGGGAACAGATAATTTGCCTTAGAATATCATTATTGTCTTATCGCCTAGCCGAGTGCGCTTAATAATGAACTTTAGACGACTTTGTAAATATTGCAAGTCAAATCACATCGGAAAGGCAATGGGCGCAAACAGTTCCTTCATTTTAGCAATCAACACACCCGTTTTCGACGGCAACTCCTCCACGTATCTTGTGATAAACTTATTAGATACACGATTTTTTCGTCATTTTCTATACGAGAAGACGTTTGTTCTCTGCTTATCCGGAGTGCATATTTTTCTAAATCGGTTAAGTACATAGCCTCGATATGTAGGCAGAAGTTAAAGAGCTGTAAAATATGTATATTGTCCTGTCCACGTTTTCCTGTAAAAAACCCTTTGCCGACTAGCCATGGAGACTGTGCTAAATATTAAGTGTACTGACAAACGCAACTCTCTGTCGGTATGTCCATCGGGGAAACAGACTGAATAGTCTTTTTATATAAATATTTTACTTGATCCGTTAGCAGTTTATAGATGAACAGATATAAGACATAAGAGTTACATTACTTACCCATTGGATTCGTATTTTTATGGAGTCAATATGCTCGCAAGTGGTCTTATGCGCCAGAATTTTATTTTGCCAAGAATCGACTTCCGTCTTTTAACTAGCCCTTTACATCTTTTTGATGGGGTAAATCGCAAATAGTGACATCACTGGCATAGAAAAATGGAATTTGTGAAACAATGGCAGGCCCTTTGACTTAGATGGGTTTGTGCTAGTGGACTTCAGATAGTTGACCGCATTTGCACCAAGAATTACTTGATCATTAAGTTTGTGAAGTCATTTGCGATCCCGACATTTGAGACTTCAAGTTATCCTTGTTTCATCTTCATTTTGTGAACGCGGTATCATAAGTCAGGACGGATTCGATTTTCGCAACTTTACAATGGTTTATTAGCACGCAACCATATGCATTTGCAGGCTCTTTAATCCGTTTTTATTTTCTTTGGAGTAGTTATTTAACCTTCTTAAGATGGGTTCTCGTAATATATCTAATTGCTAGCTTGTGTGTTTCGCAGAAGCGATAGCAAGAGTTTACGACGCTGCAACTGAATTACACAACCTTCTTTAACGATTTACATCCCACATATTCTGTCTGACCCAGGACATTTTTAAATTGAAAATTCCGAACTCATCTGTTTAAAATCTGGTTTGGAAAATGAAATTTTTGGCCAGAAATTTGGTACCTCGATTAATTATCTGTCGAGAGAAAGGTATTGTGGAGTTATGTACGCACAACCCTGAAAGAGTTTGAAAGTAGCCTGTGCATTCGCTAGGCTGACACCGCGGAGGAATTTCATTCATTTCACTTTAGTCCGCTTTGTTGTCGCGGGTTAAACATAAATGCTATATTTTCGTCACTCTTCATCTATTACTTCGTCTAGTAGCATCGTGCGTTGTATTTTGTCAAGCCTTGTTGTGATACTTATACGATTGTGAACAATGACCTCACTTTGACTGCCTAAAATGCTGTTGTATTTCAGTCACCGTATGAGCTTGTTTGGCCTTTGGCGCATCTATCAAAAACTGCAGTAAAACATCGCTGGTCAAAAAACAGCATCACGCATCTCATTACCAGCACCTGCACCACACACAAATGCGTCTATATAAACTACGTAGGCACGAGATCTAAACCTAGGGTCTAAATGGGAAGCATTTTGACATTTAGCTCTTTCTCAACGTGGCAAGAAAAAACCGGGCAACCCCAACCCCTTTGTTTAATAATCTGCTTAGTCGTGTATGGTTAGTGCAGACGGGTTTTTCTGCACTGGCAGCCACTAACCCGAAAAAGGTAAGAAGATTCCAAACTAGCTGACATTCTGCCGCTACATGACACAGCTACGAGGAGTTCAGTTTTTCATTTGGTCCCCGTAGCATTCCTGGTCTATTTTCTGGTAGACACTCCAATTTAGAAATTGCCGCTTTTCGTCAACGCCTTTATACCCTAGAATATACTGATCTACTCCAAATTGGCATTTGATTAGTGGAGAAATTTAAAAGCATCAACTACCCCTAATCGCTGCATTGGACAACTGACCAGCATGGACAGCGTACTGATATCTGAGAGAGAGAGAGAGGGAGAATAGCAAGTGAGATCATCCCTCAACGTCTACTAATAACTGAAGCAGTCTGATGTGCTTTAATGTATCACGGAGCGCTATAAGCTCTGACATGGAAGGCTGCCAAATGACAGAATAACTTGGTCTTCTCAGTGCGGTAAGTCAGACTGCATAGGTCCCTTATCAATGTGTCTTATCTAGCACCCATGCTCAGTTGTGGTCGGAATCGACCCTCTATCTTTTTGTTTGAAAGCCTGGTTCATTGTGGGTAGACCAGGCGTGTGAAATGCGTAGACAGACTCCTTATCATTGTCGGTCACTGCACCCCGACCGGGTTCCGGTCTGATTGACTCTGTTAATCGATTTATCGATCTGCCCCCAGCGAACAGAGTGCTGCGCAGTCACCCTTAGTCTTTCGCCATCGGCCGGTGATTGGCTAGCACGCTGTGTTATAGTCTTCCGTTCTGTTTTTGTTATTTTTCTTGCCATTCGACTCCAGCAGGAGTTTGAAAACACAGAATAATAAACACACTGTTTCGATGCTTCACCTGGAACTTGAAATCTAGCCTCTACCTTGATTCTGATCTGATTCTCGGCCCAGGTCGGTGGGGATGATGTGAGGTTAGTAAATGCAGGGTAAGTCTACTATCACTATAGACTAATTCACTCGCAAGTCACTGTCCCTGAGCCCACTTTGCTGTAGTGCGCACATCGACGCAACCGACGGGCAGACTATCATATTACTGTACTGGCCTGACGATTAATAATCAGAAAAGTGCTTTCGTATAATTTTTCTGATAATTGTATGGTTTATGGACAGAGTTAATTACTCTGGGAAACATTTGTGCTGAAAAAAAGATCTGAACATTCAAGAACTTTGTGATATCACACGTTTCGCCCCTCAATATAGTTACGAATTAAAAGGACACAATTCTTACCGTTTGATGGCAATGGTAAGTAAATTTAATGCCACTTTGCAGACATTGTCAAAACGGTATTGCACGGTCATCTTACAGCATCCTATCGCCCTCACTCAATAGCCTCCGCAACGTACAAATAAACATCGCCAGTTATTTTATCTTAGCACAATCCCCCCCCGGGGTTAGTAACCCCGGTCGTGAACCATATCCTTGCTACTTTGCTTCTTCTACGTCTGCATAGTGGGATTGCAAACGGTCTTGGCAGACTGTGAAGTCACTTAAAATGCATATTAAATTTTGCACTAATGTTATGCCCCGAAATGCACTGCGTCCTCGGATTCGATAAATGAGATTATTATCACAGCATCCGCTGGGTTAAAATTGAGTCCAGTTTTATGGGCGGTGCTGTGTAAAGGTTTCGTGTGTAATGAAAGCCGGCATTCGTAGTACTGTACCGAGAGTGTTCTGACGATTCCTATACAAAATCGAAGGTACTGAATAAGCGAGCCAGCATAGTATTTTGTCGCAAAATGTTATGCTGACCAACACGCATGTGAAAACAAAGGAATTTTAAGTTTCTGTGTTTCTTTTCTTTAATAAAGGAAACGCCTCTGTAGGATATGCGTTTATGCACAGACGTTAGTTAGTCGATTAAATTAGGTATCCCTTAAAGTAGGCAGAGGTACTCCCGGAGCAAAACTGCTTCAAACCTTTCTTTTTTTCTCGTCAGTGCGGACAAGGCCATCAGGACAGTTGAACAAAGTCACGTGTGGCCGACAGCCGATGCCAACGGAAAGTACGAGAGAAGCCGGCCGGGCGTCATGTGACCAGCATGGGACGCCACCTCACCGCGACGCTCACGTGGCTGAGATCAAATCACGTGAGCCCCAACAACTGATCAGTCCGTCGAGTGACGACGGGGAGGCCGGGAAGCATGCTGGCCTACCAACAATTACGAAGGCCGCAAAGGGCTCGAAAGTAACACGGGCCCACCAGAGTGGTCGATGCTAATCAGCGGCAAATGGGCAGGTCATATTTCGTGCCTCGAGCACGGATATAATACCAGGCAGGCGTCAAGGCTTAAGCAATCAACGCCAGCAGGGATAGCCAACACACTGATGATGGAAACGGGAGGGTTTCCAAAACGTCTGTTCAAATATAATTTGGTCTATGAATTCGCCCTCTTTTCTTCTTCGGGAGATGATGAGCGCGACACAATATCTGGACCTTTAATCTTTACCTTTATCGATAAAGTACAATATATTTCAAGAAACTCACAAACAGTCGTTGATGTTCGAAGTCACGTGTACTCTGACAACTGTTGTGAGTTTCGTCTGATGAAAAGTTATATTTGTTGAAACCCTTCCTTGCTCTCATAGGGGTGTGGCAATGTCATCTGACTTGTTCAGGCAATTCCTGTTTTATCATAGGTCCTTGATTGTTTATTTTCCATTTATTACAAGTAAGACTTACTTGAACACTGTTCCGGCGTTCATGATGTGAAATATTGGATTCGCAATACTTGCTTCATCTTGGACGTTCCCTTGATAAAATGATTTTGAGGATAACCGTGTATGAAGCATTTAATCTCGGTTACTTGGCTTGCTTATGGTATGAGCTTTTCGTCTTTCGGGAGTAGCTATAAGCAATTTGGGGTCTGATTATGACGTCTTAAGCCTGAAATAATAACCAAAATTTGACTCATTTTAATTAAATCCAGAAGAAAGTAAAATACCTTTTACTTAGAAGCCAATATTTATGCATTCGTATTGTATGCGAA